TTTTTCACCCTTCAATGTTACATTTAAATATTATATGTGCATTAACTTTCCAATTTGATATTAACAATTTTTGGTTATAGAAAAATACAAATTATAATGCTGAAAAATTTATGTATACATGTTTAAACCGTCAATTTTGATCCAAAAGTTTACGTTTCCCAGCAAAAGTGCAATATGGTATATCTCAAAAACCTGATGTGATAGACAAAAACCAAAGTCATATTTGGATTCTGCACCCCAAATTTACTTAAAATCCGTTTAAAAACCTGGTGCCAGAAAAATTGTGTTGACCGGTGTAATAATAAACATGAAGAAATACAAAAATTATAAAAAATCAAAAGTGAGAAACAATATACTGTGTTGTGTTGTGTTGTGTTGTGTTGTGTTGTGTTGTGTTGTGTTGTCAGGGAAACAGTTGAGACCCTGCAATTGTGTGTAAATGAGGCAGAAAGTCAGATCATCAACCTGGGATTTGGTCACATATGGCAGCAGGGTCTACCATTAGACAACACATTATGCTTCCAATATCTTCCCAGGCGGTAGTACCTCCCTGCCTGGTAGCTGCCTACTACAGCACTATACCCAAAAGAATTTAGTTGACAAGCCCCAACTGAACGGTACAGCATCTGGCTTTCCCTACCTACCATAATTATTACTTTTACTTTCTACTTTTATCCTCTTTGCCGTCGATCGGCTCGTTAGCCGCTTGGGCGATCAGTCACATCTCTCTTACTTACTGTTGGCAAGTACTGGGCATGCACCGGCTCCTGAATGTACCTGAACCTGCTCCAGTGTTGGTCAAGTCTTGTCTTGAAAGAACTCACACTCGGTGCTGTCACAACACACTCTGGTAGATTGTTCCAACAGTTTACAACTCTTACTCCGAAAAAGTTTGCCCTCACAGTTTTCTGGACTTGCGGCTTCTTCAATCTTGAGCTGTGACCCCTTGTGGGGCGAGCGTTCGCCAGCTCCAAGTAAGGACACTCAACTGAGTAGTTCCCTTTGGCATGTTTATACACCTATATTAGGTCCCTCCTTGCCTGTCTGTAGTATAAGCTAGGCAAGTTCAGGCGCTCCAATCTCTCAGGGTAGTTGAGGTGCCGAAGGGCAGGCACCAGTCTGGTGGCCCTCCTTTGAACATTTTCAACCAACTGACAGACCCTAGCATATCTCGGGGACCAGACGGGGTGACAGTACTCCAGATGGGGAAGCACTTCACTCTTGAAGATCGTTACGAGGGACGGACCTTCTAGATACCTGAACGACCTTCTTGTAAGACCAAATAATTTAGTTGCTTGATTCACCTTCTTTTCAAAATGGCCCGAGAAATTCAGTTCATAGTCAAAATACACACCCAAGTCATTTTTGCATTTGTTCTCTATTAATGCACTCTTTGTCCCGTTGGGACATACAATATGCTTCCTTACTGTTGGTACGCCCCAGGTGCATCCTCTTACACTTCATGACGTTGAATCTTAGCAGCCATTTCTTCGACCATTCTTGAAGCTCACAGAGATCCTTCTGCAGCTCTTCACAGTCTGTTTGGTTCTTAATTTCCCTAAATAACTTGGCATCATCCACAGACATTTGTGTGGAAAAGTGTTCAGCTTCTGGCATGTCATTTATGAAGCAAACAAACAACAATGGGCCCAGTACACTGCCCTGTGGTACCCTGCTTGTCACGAAGACACCTGACGGTTTCGCACCATTAAACACCACACACTTGGCTCTGCAAGGGATGACCCAGGTGGAACTGAGGCACTCTCTTTTTCATTACTTAATGATCTAGAACAAATAATTAAACACCTTACACAAGTTCCAGATTAACACGACCAACTTGCTAACATTCTTGATCTTTGTTTTACCTCTAACCTCTCACACTATTGTGTCCCCTCCTCAACCTACAGTGAGTTCTGCTATAACGCGTGTTTTGATAACGCGAATTTGCTCTAACGCGATTTATGAATTCGGAACAATATTTGTATAACGCGATCGCTTGTTTGCTATAACGCGATTTTTGCTTACTATTTCTCCAATTTTGTGGTATTAACTGTGAATATGGTAAAGAAGAATATCTCCAAAAAGCATTCTGATGATAGAATTCCCGGTGATTATCGTAAAAGAAAGGATATAACACTTGAAGAGAAGCTTGATGTTATCAACCTCAAAATCACCCTTCTCCCCCATCAAGTTACATTCATATTTTTTCAAGGTAAAGTGTTAAATTTACTGTATGATTTCATTATTAGATATGAATGTAACATTTATTTAGACTGTGCTATCCTTTGTGTTAGGCTAACTACTAAATTTTTTCGATTTCGAGTAATCTGCACCTAACCCTATTTTCTCCATAAGCCCTGTTATTTCTATTACGCGATTTTCTATAACACGATATTTTACAAGAACACAATTATCGCGTTATAGCAGAACTACCTGTACCACCATACCCATCACTTGCTCCAACTTGACACCAGGAGAAGAAACTGCTTCACCAAGCTACTCGGCCCCAGTGACCACCGATTCAGAACCAGTTTCCCATCTGACTATGAGACAGGTATGAGGCAAGTGTGTCTGCCTGGTAAGCTGTGTCTCTTCTCTGCGGCCTACGGTGTTCCTCTTCTCCCAGGGAGTAGAGGACGAATTGTATTAAGGACTACTGCTGGTGGTGTTGTGATGGTAGTGGACTACAGCGGTAATCCCTGGTTCCTTGTGGTTGGCCATCATGACCTAGACTTGCTACCTGAGCTGCCATTTCTGTCAGGTTTTTGTGTTGTGTATAGTATGTGTATTTAATGTTTAAAGTAAGAATAATTGGGTAATATTCTGGTGTGTTTTGACAAACACATAGTAGCACTTTTGTTTTGATAATTGCACATTTTGTTTTATTTGTGTTATTTAATGTACATAATTAACAAACTTAAGCAATACGTACTTGATTATCATCTTTTCTCTTCATAACTTAAATTTATCTGTCACAAACAGTGAATCTTGTGTGTGTGCTCCTTACTTGCTGCAGCCACGTATTTTAACACCGAGATTATTCACTCATTTTTTTACTTGTCAACTTGGCATTTCCTCAATGTTGTAGGTAACAAGGAGGGACAGTTCATGCTCAATTTCCACCCCCTTAGGAACTACTTTTGACAATCTCATTTCTATTAAATCAAACTGGCCACGACCACCTCCCCCACCCCCCTCTAAACGTCAACTATGGCACTATCGGAGGGCAAGCTGGCAATCCTTGTGAGAATTCTTCTCCGACTTTCCTTGGGACGAATGTTGTTTCTCCACTCGTAGGGACGTCTCGGTATGTGCTGACAGCATTACTGGGGTTATACAGGGCGGTATGAGTGCATTTATCCCATCTTCTACCAAAACTTTCACATTACAATCATGGTTTGATCGCTCCTGCTCTCTTGCTTGCAGGGTGAGAGATAGGGCATATCGAGCTATGAAACTATCTCCTTCTCCTATTACCCACACCTCTTTCATTACCTCTAGGAATCGTTGTAAGGCTATTCTTCGTCGGGCCAAGCAGAATTTAAAAAAGAAAGACAGCTGTCCTGACTAATTCTTCCTCTAGTAAATCCTTCTGATCCTGTAATAACTTCTGCACTCCTTTTCCTCCTCTCTTCCGACCTGATAACTCTATAGCCAACTCTCCCCCTGACAAAGCCAATCTCTTTGGCACCTTATTCTCCTCTAACTCCACCTTAGACTATTCCCACTCTATCCCTCCTACCCCTGCACCTCCTACTGAACCTATGCACTTTCCTATAATCTCCACTCGCAGGGTTGCCGGTGTGTTATCCAGGATGGATGTGAGTAAGGCACATGGACCGGACGGAATACCCCCTCGTGTTCTGAGGGAGTGTGCTGAAGCTCTGGCACCCTGTGCTTGCTCGCCTCCTTCACCTCTGCCCCAAAACCCAAACTTTTCCTTCTTCTTGGAAGCATGCCTTGGTTCAGCCCATCCCGATGAAGGGTGACCATTCTAATCCCTCTAACTATCGCCCCATTGCCCTAACTTCATCCCTCTCTCAGATTTTCTAAACTATCTTGAACTCCCATTTTCTCCGTCACCTTGAACGCCTTTCTCTTTTGTCGGATCACCAGTATGACTTTCGCCAGGCAAGATCTACTGGTGATCTGCTCTCCTATTGCACCCATCTTTGGTCATCCTCTCTTGGGGATTATGGGGAAACTTTCGTCGTGGCCCTCGACATCTCCAAAGCATTTGACAGGGTATGGCACAAGTCTTTGCTTTCTAAACTTCCCTCTTATGGTTTCTCTCCCCCACTTTGTTCTCTAATCTCTAGCTTCCTTGAGAACCGATCCATGGCAGTTGTTGTCGAGGGATTGATCTCTCGCTGTTTCTCTACCAGTAGTGGTGTCCCACAGGGATCTATTCTTTCACCTACTCTCTTCCTTCTTTTTATCAATGATTTACTTCACACTTCAACTAATTCTATCCATTCTTACACTGATGATTCTACTCTTCACATTTTCCTCGTAGCTCTCAAACTAGATCTGTTTCTAGAGCTGATATCATTACATCTATCAATGCGGATCTGTGCAGCATCTCCAAATGGGGAGGTACAAACTTGGTTGAATTCAATAGTAATAAAAGTCAGTATTTACCAATTACACTTTCCAAAATAGAAGATCTTCCACCAATCACATTTCAGGACACAATCATTCTGCCAAATTCTAAAATAGATATGCTAGGCCTCACCATTTCCTCTAATTTGTCATGGAAGCCATACATCCTTAACATTGCTAAAACTGCCACCCGAAAGTTGGGAATGCTGTACAGATGACGTAGCTACTTCACTCCTGAGCAGTATATAAGGGAGTACTGCTCTCATATCTGGGGTGGCTCTTCAACTGTTAGATAGGGTGGAATCAAAGGCATTTCGTCTTATTAACTCTCCTCCTTTAGTTGACAATCTCTCTTCCCTTTCTCTTCACCACAATGTTGCTTCACTCTCTCTCTTTTACAGGTACTTTAACGGGCAATGTTCGGTGGATTTGGCATCCTGTGTACCGGCGGTACACAGGATGCCACTTCCTGCAGTCACCATTGTTCCCTTCAGTGTTGCTCATAATATTAAGTTAGTTCCTCCATTCCAAGAAAAGGCTGTAGATAAATATTGTAGATATTTTGAGAAGGTGGCCATGAGTTTGTGAAGGCCAAAGGAACAGTGGGCAATACTCCTCCAGTCTGTGTTCGTAGGAAAAGCTATTTGTCTACTGTATGTCAGTAGATGACTGTAGTGACCATGAGAAGGTGAAGTGTACTGTGCTGAAAGCGTATGAGTTTGTGCCTGGAGCTTTTAGGCTTAAATTTCGTAATTCACGCAAGCATGACAGACAGAGTTACTTAGAATTTGCAAGGGAGAAGGCTGATATATTTTCTCGTTGGTGTGAAAGCGAGAAAGTATGTAACTATTATGAGAAACTGTGTCAACTGTTACTGGTAGAAGAGTTTAAGAGGTGTATACCTGATTGAGTTAAAGTGTATCTTCAGGAAAACAGAGTGAATACACTAGAGGAAGCAGCCCGTATGGCAGAGGATTATTCTCTCCTACACAAACTTCCTGGTAACTTTGTAAAGAGTAACGCCTCGCCACAATCCTCTCCGCCAACAGGTAAGCGAAGTTATTTTAAGGAAGACACTACCAGCTCTCACCTGAGTTTTGATTTTGATAAAAAAAAAAAACCCATAAAATGTTTTAACTGAAAATTGTTGGGTCATACAATAAGTAATTGTTGGTTTCTTCAAGACAAACAGTCTAAGGATGTTCCAACAGCTCTTGCCAGTATTAAGAATTCATGCAATAAACTTCCCTAGAAAGATTGACAATGTGCACAGAATGTTAAGGTAGAGTTTAAGCCTTTTAGTTGAGAGGGTAGAGTCTCCTGGTTTTGAGAGATACGGGGCCATGCAATCTTTGAAGGCATATTGCCACTATCAGACGAGTCCTCCCTAAAGGCTAATGTGGTGTTAACCGGGATAGAATGTGGGCATATTAATGTGTTTATTTACAATGTAATTATATGGACCTGAATGTAACCGTGGGAGTGGTGCCAAAATTACCCATTGATGGTGTATCATTTATTCTTGCAGGAGATAAGGTGTTCTACAACCATTGTTTTGAGCCTCCAAGAACTAAGAGACAGCAGTGAGCAGATCGAGGCAGCTGAACCAGGTGTGTTTCCTGCCTGTGCTGTTACCAGAGCAGTGAGGAAGAAGGCAGAGTGTGTCTGTCATGAGGACCCGAAGCCTGTTACGGACATGGCAGCCCCAGTGAGTCAAGAACAATCTAAAAATCTTCAGGTATGTGACGGTGTGTTAGAAACAATTACAGGTTGTACCTCTCTAGTCCGGAATTCTGTGGTCCGGAACGATTTTAGTTTGCCCATGGGGAAAATTAATTTGAGTCTGGTACTTTTGATGTTTGGCTAAATTTTGCCTTATTTACCCTAATAAACCAACGAAAATAACACCGATAAAATTAAATAAAAACTAAAAACAACACAGAAAAGTTCTTATGTTCTACAGCTTCAGCTAGAGTTGAACCTGATGACTTGGCAACTTTGTCATCCAAGTAAACACACACAACAACATTGGCTGTCCTTATGTTTTCAACTTTACCACCACTGGTGGGTAGTATTTTTGTTTTAAATTCAGAAACATGAATTAAAATATATATGAACAGTAAATTAGTGTTGTTTTCATATTCTTATGTAGAGTATTGACGATATGTTTACACTTGTTCTCACTTACATACGCCATCTCACTTTTTTCTTTACCATTAATGGTTAGCTACTTATATTGTTCCATTTATTAACATTAAATAACATTACTTCAAACAACCATATTAAGTTTACTACAGCTACAACCAAGTTCTTATTTTCTTCAGTTTTATATGTAGAACCAGTCAGTCACTGGTTTTGTAAACAACGAAAACAATGCCGTCTCATTTCCTCGTGTGTTTTAATATTCTACGTATTATTAATGAATTGTATTGTTCATTTTGCACACATAAAAATTAATTAAATCAAAAAGACATTCAGTAATAAACAATAATGAATCTCTTATACATAAGAGAAATGACGCTGTTTACACGATTGTGCACGTCGTCTGAACGTTGGCGGGCCGCTCAAACCCGTCGAAATTTGAGTTTCCGCCTTCGAAATTTTAAATTGCGTAGTGTTTTTTGTGCCCAAATAAAAAACATCGAATTAAAAACTCCCAAAATTTGAGAACCTACTGTACGACATTTAACCCTTCAATATGTTTTCAAAGAGACCATGAAGCAAAGAAAGTGGTGCTAGTGCTTCCATGCGTAAGCTCAAGTCACTATCTATCCAGGAAAAGGGTGAATTTCCATGGTCCGGCACCGGTCAGGTCCCGAGGTTGCCGGACTAGAGAGGTACAACCTATACTAGTGAGGATATGATCGCTTTATTTAATCATGAAAATGATACCAGTGTAGTTGAGGATGAGCTAAGTACCTCCCCTGTGGAGAGGATAAAATGTTAGGTCAGCAACACAAGGACCCAGAATTAAGTAAGATGGCTGAGTTAGCTCTAACAGAACAGGAAGTATCAGATGTCCCCACAGGGTATGTTTTTTTATTTTATTTTATTTTATTTTTTGTTTTTTTTTAATTAGCCCACCCTGGCACAGGTCGAACGGCCCACAGCGGGGCCTGAGGGGCGAAAAAATGAGAACAGAAAGAAATTGAAAATAGAGAAGAAAAGGATTATGCTGTGTTAATCTAGACCAGGAAGATGCCGGAAAACAGCTTTTTAAAGTGAGACAGATTGTATGAGTATGGAAACACAGAAGAAGGCAGAGCATTCCACAGTTTGGCTGTGTGAGGAAAGAAGGAGGTACTATAACGGGTTATTATAGTGTGACCGACATCCACAGAGAAACGGTGGGCACCGCAGGCAAGAGGTGTGTTACGAGCCCACGGCCTTGCTGGCGGTACACTGGATGCCAAATCCACCAAACATTGCCCGTTAAAGTACCTGTAAAAGAGAGAGTGAAGCAACATTGTGGTGAAGAGAAAGAGAAGAAAGATTGTCGACTAAAGGAGGAGAGTTAATAAGACGAGTGGCTTATTAATGTGTAAATGGAGATCACCAGAGGTCTCTGCTGAGGATGATTGGCGCACTGTGCGGCTCGTGAAGTGTGCAGCAGGCGACACGAGTATGAGGCAGTGTGCGTTGTTACTAGCGCTGCTGACGCTGGCTGTGGCACAACATGGGCTAGCACCCGTGCTGATCAGTGTAAATATTGGTATCGGACCATGACCACAGGCCGGCTGCTACTTCAACGACACCCTGGTGGATCACGGCCAGGTGGTGTTCAACCCCAACTAGTGGGTAACAATGGCAAGATCCTCCCTCACTTCCTGCGTGACCCCGGCACAAACCACTGTTGTTGTGAGTGTGTTGAGGGAGCTGAGTTGTCTGGGCACTGTACCAGGAAGGGGTGGCTGCCCATAGATGACTGCTGTGTACATGACGAACCCCACTTCTTCACCTTCGAAGGTCACCGGTACGACTGGCACTGTAACTATTCCTTGGCTCAGACCGACATGACTTATGACCCCGAGGCTGGTGTCTTCGGTGACTTTGAGCCGTGTTTTGGGGACCTTCCTGCCTCGGACACACCACCTTCAAGGGCGATAAACACACCGGTGAACGGCGACCCCTACACGGTGGCTGTTATTGGGGGCGGAACAAGTCCGGCGTTCATCTGAAGTTCACCGCCGCCATCGTCTGGACGTGAGGGCTCACCCCACGCAGACAACCTGGACGGTCTGTGTGGACACTTCACTAGCAGGCGGGGCGACGTACACCCGTACTTCCCGTCCACTTTCCCTCATTCCTGGAGGACGCAGGACCAGACGACCACAGGTGTCGGCAATGCAAGTGTCGTCAACCTCCCAGAGTCGATCGTCTGTGCCAAGCCGATGAGCGGCAGCTGGCCAGGTACAGGAGTATGTGTGTGAAGAGTACTTGGGGTCATCACTAGGGATCATCATGGCACTAAGCCACTCTGAGATTTATATATATCCTGCTAAACACCCTGTAAAGGTGTTCACTGATCATAATCCATTGACTTTTCTTAAGCGAATGAGTAATAAGAATCAAAGATACTTTGTCCAGAGGCTGAGATTGATTGTTTCGACATTTTTCAATTTAATATTTCAGAATTTGACTAAACTTGACAATTTTGGGGTATGTTATAATCTCCATATTTCACAATGTGTTTAGAAGTTTACTAATATGATCTTATTCTCCCATTAGAGTGTTGCTGAAGGATATTTGGTAATGTTTTATGGTGATTTATTGTATGTATAAACCAGTGACATGTACACATTCTATATTGAACCCATCTATTGTTAAAAAAAAGATGTCTAATGACACCTTTCTTTTCTTTAAGGCAGGAGGTATTAAAAAGTTTGATATAGAATATGCTCGTGGACCCGACCGGTACTCGACCATTGACCCGTGTTTGGCCGCTGAACGACCACCGCTCCACCTCCATTACTCGATCTCCCGACTGGATGTTCCGGACCTCGAGTCGTGGATCATGGATACATTGGATGGCCCACAGCTCGGGCTCATGGTTAGGCTCTCCGGAGCTCTGTATCCGTGTTGCTCAGATGTCAAACGGAGTTGTAATGAAGCGGTGCACCAGGGCAGAGCGCTCCAGGACGGACAAGGGTGTGGAGGTCGGTGGAGCCGGTTGTGGTTGTGTTACTCTGGCTTAGAATGTAATGTAAGTTTATAATACAGTAGAACGTCGATATAACGTGAGATACGTTCCAAGAGAGGTCGCTTTAAACCAAATTCGCACTAAATCGAAGTGTTGTTTCAATGGAGTAATTTAGTTTGGTACTTGAGAGAAACACAAAATACTAAAAAGACTTGACAGTCTACCCAGATGCACCTCAGCCCATCTCCTAGAACGGGGGTTCCCAAACCTGGGATCGGAAGGCTCATTAGGTAGGGTTGCAAAGAGGTCATGGGGCCGGTGGGGTCCTTTGGGTCTGCCAGTGAAATGATTTGGGATCGCACTGGATAGTTGACAACACTGGATGGAGTCGTGCTAGAAAAAGCTTGGGAACCCCTGTCCTAGAATAAACAAAACATTGTTTTTGTAGTATTATGTTGAAACAAACTTTCATAAATCAACACAGCTAAAATAAAGGGATGGGAAATGGTCTGTTACTGGTTGGTAAGATGGAGGGGGGAGGTGGTGGTGATATGTTTGACAGATGATGCCAAGGTCTAGTGCTTATTTATTTATCTGTCCTAAGAGCAACTTTAAGTTTTTCTCTTATAAAATGTCACTGAACTGACATGGGAGAATATAATTAACATTGCTGGAATTCTTATAAGATAAAGATTAATTTGAATATAAACATTCTGTAGCTCGCATTAGACATACAAATTTTAGTTCTAATTTAAGAATTTTATTACGGCAACAATTTTTATATCTTGTGCAAAATATATTAAGTTTTTATTCAAATTATTCGCTGTCTTGCAAGGATTCCAGCAATGCAAATTATATTCTCCTAACTTTAGTCTGAGATATTATATAAGATAAAAACTGAAAGCCTAAAACACTAAACCCTGGCTGGGAAGAGGGGGGGGAGGTGACAGTGACATGTTTGACAATTGGCGCTTGTATTAGCCTCAGTCACATTAGTATTATATAAATATGGGCAAAGGACATATATTCATTATTTACATTTTATCACCCAGACTATTGAGCATACAGCTACATACCGGTAAGAATTTGTTCTTGCACACCTTGGGTGGACAGCCCATAAATCTACAGACTCAACACTCAGTGTGTGGTAGGCTGCTTAGATAATGTCCGTGTTGAAGGATGGGTAATTCTCCAACCATCAGACTCAAGAGAGTACAGCCAGTTCCCCCAGTTCACAGCCCGGCACGATGCCCTAAAGTCGTGCCGTGAGACCATCTCTCCGGGCTGTACCTCTCACTAATTATATCGGCTAATTACAAGCTAATGGCTAATGCTCAATAGTCTGTCAATACCAAATAATTGTAGAGACATGACGACCCAATATAACTATTAAATCACCACGTGTGTTTACATTAGACCAAGGAACAACGAGTGAAGAGAACAGTACCCGTGTGTCTTGTTTATCTTACAAGCTAAGATAATTACAAGTACAACCCAGGACAGCTGTGACGATTTAAACTTTCAGCTAATCTACGACTGTATCAAAGGCGACACACCATGAGATTACCTGATATCTCACTCAGCTACATCAAAGGTACCAGCGACTAACCTACATTCATTCAGGCAAGTGTTAACAAGTGAGATAGTTTGATATCATATCACAGCTAAAACATGGGGCCCAAGGTCTAGTGAAGTATTTATTTGTTTATTTATGTCCTTTAACTTGAGTTTATGTTTTATGCTTAGAAAATGTCACAGAAATGACAATGGAGAATATAATTTACATTGCTGGATTCTTATAAGATAGTGATTAATTTGAATATAAATGTAGCAAGCACAAAGCAGGTACCTCCCATAGCAGGGATGACACACACTTGTAGTTTTCTCTCCTTTATTTACTCTATAAATCACCCGAGGTAGGAAAGGCTGGGACCTAGATCAGACATAACTAGTTATTATACATTGTATTTACAAAACAAGCATCAACTGTTGTCATATTCACATACTGGTACCACACAGTAGTAGGAACTAAACAGTACATAATAAACCCAAGCCACCAGCATAACACAGGGTGGTGGCTGTTGGTGTAGACTCACTCCAGGGTGAATGTCTGTAGAGCAAAGCTGGTATATTAGCCTTATTCTGGCTTACAAACTACCTTCACGAGATCATCACATTCTTCATATAACATTTATTATGCTCAATCTATCAAGCACATCCTAACAGAGCAAGAAATACGTGGGACACACCTGTTAATGGGCCCACCCGACGCGTCTTTGTTATGTAAACAACGCCGTAGCGTCTCTCCCCCCGGGCTGGGATGCATTTGTTCTAGCGCAGATTCCATTTCAAACCCACAGAATATATTTATGTTTTCCTTCCTGGGACTCACACAAATACATATCCATATAAAAAATATTCTAAATCACAAAATACAGTGGGGTATGCTATAACGAATCTAATTGGTTCTAGAACCTTGTTCGTTATAGCATTGGTTTGTTATAGGATTAATCCGTTCCAGGCCCCCAAATACAACCACTTAACACTGAAAAATATAATATAAAATTGTAAAAATTGTAAAAAAGTGCATAAATATGCATCTAAACCCCTGAAATAAAGAATATCATTAATATTTGTAATAATAAAACAATAAATTAGAAAAAAAAAAAAAATAAATTAAATTATGTTCGTTGTAGGAGTTTCGTTCGTTATAGCATTCTCAATTTTATAGGTAAAACCGTTCGTTATAGGAATATTCGTAGTAGGATCCGTTCGTTATAGCATACCCCACTGTAGTTGTCTCTGGAGTTCCTCATAAACATGCTACTAGACAAAAATTTTAGTAATCATTTAGTACATTATTTTGAGTACATGTACAGTACAGCTTTGCCCTTAGGACAGTGTAGCGTGCCCAGAGAAATTGTAGGCACAAATTTTAAAATATGATGCGCCAGATTGACTCGCGCAAAATAGGAAAGATTCGCTTTAAATTAAAACATTGTCCTTAATTGTTTGTGTCGCTTTAAATCAACGTTCTATTGTATTTATGTATATTTCTATGTGGTAGGATTAGGGTGATTGTTAGAGTATTGTTTTATATTTACGTAACTGTTGTACGAATGTGGTGATTGTTGATTATTGCTGGTTGTTGGTGTTTCTTGTCACTATATTGTGCATTCCAACATTGTGTTTGCTACTCCTCTCCTATAGTGATGTAGAATACTTGAGTAAGACTGAATAGTACAGGAGCAATAGGCTGAACATGAGGTGAAATGTACGTATAAACAAGACGTTTGAATCTCTGGGGGTCGGTTACCACCCGGTTCCTGGTAAGGTGTCCAGTTCAGGAACATAAGTACGTAACTATATATATATATATATATATATATATATATATATATATATATATATATATATATATATATATATATATATATATATATATATATATTAGGGTGGTCCAAAATATCACATATTTGTATACGTTTTCTCCACAAGGTTTATTTTTGTCCATTAGGTACAAAATGCATCCCAGAAAAAAATTGGATCATTTAAAGCATATTTAGAGGTCAATCCAATGTCCCCTTTTTTTCCATTTAGTACGTAATAAGGATTTTTCGGGGCTAGATAAACACATTATAAACACATTGTCTTTATTCAGCAAAATACAATCATAAGTTTTACAAATTACAAACTAAATAACTCTAGAACACCAATACACATTCTTTATTTGTATCCCTTCATCATAGCAGCTTTGCTTGCCGTTGGTAACTTCTTGCGATGAGCTGCAACAACCTGTAAAAGGTACTGCTTTTGGTCCTCATTTTGCGTTATAGACTCATTATAACGCTCTATGAGAGCAATTGCCCTCTCTGCGCTGTCATTCACCACCTTCATATTTATCGCACGATCTCTCATTGGAACCAGATCAGTGTTGCCAACATCCTTACAAAATCTGTAACTAAGTCTAATTATTTCTCACAGGTAATAATTGCCTGCCATTCATATGCCATGACACAAGATGGAAACCTGCATAATATACTATTTAGATTGATAATGAAATAATTGTAGAACTGATGAGATATAAATGAAATAAGTAACTTCATCTGATTAATGGTAACCCTTGTCTGTGTTTCCTGTTTCAACCTGTCATTGTCAGTCCCTATGACTCAATACTTGACTCTTTGCCCTTTCCAAATAGGCAACTAGGCTATATACATTGAAATATACCCAATATAATGTGTTGTATATATTAAGACTGTATCATACGGACAAGAAAATTCAGTCCTACACTACAAGTATAATATGCAAAATGGATTGACCTCTAAATGTTAATGAATATGGATAAAATTTTACAGACCTTATCTATGAACCAAATGGACAATTTTAAGGCTTGTGGAGGCAATATATTACTACTTATATTTTTTACCATATAGTTTTGGACCACCCTAATATATATATATATATATATATATATATATATATATATATATATATATATATATATATATATATATATATATATATATATATATATATATATATATATATATATATATATATATATATATATATATATATATATATATATATATATATATATATATCAGGTTGACAACCCTTTATCCGAAATTCCAAAAACCGAAAGTATTTTGGGTAATGTTTTTTTTGTTTTTTTAGGATTAGCCCACCGGATTGATCACTGACCCACATCAGCCTGGGGGCGAAAATGTAATAGTAATAATAATTATAAAAATTATTCATAGTAAATAAAAATTTTAATAAAAATACACCAAAATAAAATAATAATAATAGATTTAATAATAATAACAATTACTGTAATAATAATAATAATAATAATAATAAAGAAATACAAGAATGAAAAAGATCAAAGTGAGAAACACGACCTAGACCTATGAATTATTATTATTATTATTATTATTATTATTATTATTATTATTATTATTATTATTATTATATTTTTATTATATTTTCGCCCCCAGCCCCTAATGTGGGTCAGTGATCTATGTCTGGGTGGGTTAATACAAGAAAAAAAAAAAAAAAAAAAAAAAAACTAACCATTCTGAAAACCGAAAATTCCGAAATCCGAAATGCCCTTGGCCCCAAGGATTTCGGATAAGATTGTCAACCTGTATATATATATATATATATATATATATATATATATATATATATATATATATATATATATATATATATATATATATATATATATATATATATATATATATATATATATTTTTTATATACGTATACTGCTTATAACCTTCGTATATGGTTTAGCTCGATTTTATACCAGAAATCGTAATTTGTGTATATTCCTCGCTTATAGGTTTAATTCCAAGTTTTTTGGAGGGTAATGGAACAACAAAACTTCAGAAAAACTTCTACGCCCTATAAACTTGTTTTCTACTATTTATTATTACGACACTTTTACACTGAACGCAGGTGGTTTCAACAAAAATATTGTATATTTCCATTCAAGTATTTATTCAAGTCAATTAGAGGGAATATTATTGTAATAAACAAGTTTTAACTAAACCATTCGAAAAGCGATTACGGGTTAATATCTTTTGGGCTGGCGAGGTAATT